TCGGGCGTTGCTCAAAATTACTATAGGTCAAGTATCAATTAGAAGACTACTCAAGTTTGCATCTAGTATATTTCTATTTTGTGATAATACTAGTGCTATAAATCTGTCCAAAAATCCTATTCAACATTCTAGTGTTAAGCATATTGAAATAAGATTTCACTTCATTTGTGATTATGTTCAAAAAGGTATTTTTGACATAAAATTTATTGATACTAATCATCAATGGGCTGATATCTTTACAAAGGCTTTAGTTGAGGAACGATTCATGTTCATTATAAATCACCTAGAATTAAAATCTAAACACGAATAGATTTTTCATGCATCATCTTACCATGTTTCATCTAATCATATTGCATATTTCATCATATTACTGTTACATCTGACATGCATCATTCGTCTACTCTAATGTGGCAACTTTATACAGCTAATATGCACTAACATCTTATCTAAGTTTCAAGAGTATTGATATTCAAAAAAATACTGTGAGGAACTCTTAGAACTCTAGAGACTCATCATCTCAACATCAACTCTTCCCTCATACGTCATATCATTATGCCAACCTATGACTCATCATGACCTACTGTACTTTCTTTTTATTTTTTATTTTTATTTTCTCGTGCTTATAAAACTAACTCATCTCATTTCCTCTTCTCATTAAATCTTCCAAAGTGCTCATTTTCTTTGAACATTTACTCTCTTCATGTATTTCCAATTGCTTCATTTGACTAGGTTGACCGAGCACGTTATCCTTCATCTGTATCCTTTCTACAATCATTGCTATGATGACACCTTTCATCTCCAGGCAACCCAGTCTAATGAGTCTATTGCTAAGCCATCATTTTTCTAACCTCTCTAGTCCATCTTCTTCTGCCACACCATTCACTCCACCTTCTTCTCTTATGTGTTGAGATGATGGTACATCTTGAAGACTCCTCAAGATATTTTTAGTTTTGATAATATGTATTACATATATGTTTCTTAAACCTACACAAAAGGATATTGTATTGATTGTAATAGATATAGGCTTGTGTGTGTGTTTGTTTATGTTTGATGATGATAATGGATGCTTAATTCAAGAACTAATCAAGTTTTTTAAGAAACAAAGAATTTGATTTTTTAGTATTTCCATGTGTAAACATAAAGTAATAGATTATCATGAAAAGGTAATTTACTACCAAGTGTTTAAACATAGAAATATGACTTGATTCAAATAAGAGTTTTCAAGGCAACATCGTTAATCAATTACCATTCAGGGTAATACATTACCAAGTTTGTTACTGGAAAAGGATATTCAAATGGCCTCTATGTTAATAGATTACCAAGCCTGTTACTGAAAAATGATTTTCAAGTGCTTCCTGAGGTAACAAATTACCAAAGTTGGTAATAGATTAAAATAGACTCTCATGCTTGAAAAAAGGCTGAGGAATCAAAGTTTTCATTGGGATAATGGATTACCACTTGAGATAATCGATTACCATAGAATGAAACTTAATTATGGGTCTTAGAAAGATCGTGATAATCGATTACCATATCCCATAATCGATTTCCCTGGTAGTTTTATGTTCCTGGTTCAACTTTAAAGAGTTGGTAACATATTACCATATCAGGTAGTAAATTACCTCTATTATTACTCTTTATAACTGAATCACGTCTTGCACTTTAAATAACTATCTTTTATGAAATTAAAAGAGAACAATTAGAAAATCTTTTGAAAAAAAAAACATTAGAGAAAAAGATTACTTTTAGAAACAAGAATCAATGTTGATCAAAGAATTTTTCTGAAAAACCAAGAAGTACAAAGATAAAACATGAGTTCTTGAAGAAAGAAATTCAAGAAGTGCTATTTTCAATTGTGAAAGATCAATATCTACACGAAATTAGATGATATCTTTCTGATCTTTAAATATGAATTTTCATTTTGAATGGTGTATCTCTTGATATAGGGTGTCTCAACAAGAGATTTTGAAATCTTGAGTGGGATTTCTCATGTAATTTTTGTGGGGTATAGAAATTTTGTGTGTCTTCAATCTTGTGGTGTCAAGATTGAGGTTTGTTTGAATTCTTGTAATATTGTGTGTGCAAGGTGTTTGTAAACAATATTATAGTGAATGATCTTTGATTTAGTGGGGTGCTAAATCAGAGAAAACTGGATGTAGGCCAAGTGGATGGCTAAACCAGTATAAATTTCAGTGTTCTTAATCTTTTTACCATTATCTCTTTAAGAATCTTGATAATTTATTGATTAAAGAATTCAAAGATATGTGAGATATGATATTTCAATTACTGTATATACTCTCGGATATTATTCTTGTAATTGAAATTGATTAAGAAATTGGTAATATAAATTCAACCTTGATTACAAGTGATTGTTTTGCTACAACAGCTTTGATATTTTGATACTTTGGTAATAAACCTTGTAATCTACTATTTTTTGTTAAATCAAATTGAGTAAAGGTTGAGTTTTAGATGTCTTGGTAGGTTTTAATCAAGATTTTCGAAATTAGAGTTTCTTAGGATAGAATCTATTCAACCCCCTTCTAGATTCTAGTAAACTGGGACCAACATTATGCTATCAAAAAGAGGAAGAAAAGATGAAAATGTGGGTAACTGGCCTGGTCTAGCTTTTGCTGGTGATAAAAGGGGGAGAAGAATAAGCAACATTTTTAATGTTTTCTTTGTTTTATTTCTCTGGGATGCTTCAACTATGTTTGATATGCTGTTTAAATGAAATATATTTCTATGCTACTCTGTTATATGTTTTATGAATGATCTGTCTTTTTCATCATGCATGTTTTTAGGGGGAGTCCATTATGTATTGTTCTTAATCTCAAATGTCTTATAATTACTTTTGATCAAAATACTTGGACACAAACAAATATGCTCTGACATACATGAATGCTTAAATTTGTTCACAAATTGTATGTTGTAAATGCTTTACTACATAGTTAGGATAAATGCTTTGATATCTTAGTCTATCAGACACCATATCGTCTAAATAATAAGACTAAGAAAATATGACGAATCATATGTCATAAGAAAAATATCATATCTTAATCAAATTTTCTCATATGATTTCTCTTATCTTGGTTATATATAATTCACATCGGTCTGATAAACTTTTAACTGAGTATATCTTATAAATCTAAACCTCTTTTTGAAAATTGAACATTCATTTTATATAAAAAATCTCTTTCCAAAATAAAACAAGAATAATTTTTTAAAGAATGTTTGTCACCATCAAAAAGGGGGAGATTGTAAAATCAAAAGATGATCTTGGATCCCTCAAGAGTCTATAAATTTTAATGATGACAATTTTTTTTTCTTTAAGCAAAGTAAAAAATCTACAAAGATATACTACATCAGACAAAATGTGAAAAATATATATCATCTGTAAGATGAAGGAAATCAGACGAAGCATATAGTTTGTCTTAGGATATTAAAATGAATACTTCCAAATGAGACTAACATAAGAAAATTGAAAGTTTAACTTAAAGTTACTGTAATGGTCATCTTCTTTGAAACTACTATAAAAGGATCAAGCCTTCAACATAATGAGACAACAAAATACTGTAAATTAAGATATCAACATATACTGATAAGTTTGTATTGAGAAGCATACTGAAACGGTTGGAGCTGGTAACTGTGACCGCTGCGGGGTGTGGAGTTTTGTTCTAGTGTTAGAGATACCATTTTGGGTAACTATTTGATTGTGCTTGACCAGCACTAGGGAAGTATTATTTTGGATGATTGTATATAGATAGTACTATATTTTGTATATAAATATTTGATTTTTTTATAAATTCCTTTATATGTATATTTCGTTGCCCAGCTTAATATTTTAACTTAGATGACTAGTATAGTTAGCATGATTCTTTTAAGTGTAGGGACCATGACGGGTCGTTATACTTTTATGGTATCAGAGCCGGTTGATTCTTTTGGATACTCTGTGAGGAGTGATCCTTCTAGGTTTCTGTTGTGTTATATCTTTGATATGTGTACTGGCTGTTGGTGAGTTGTGGTGAGACAGTATTACTAAAAGAATGTTTGAATTCTTTCAGCATGGTGAGGCCTTAGTATGACCAGATTGTTAGGGCCATGGAGATGATGGCCATGGCAATGTAAAAACAGAGTGCTCACTTTGCTCAAATAGAGGCGAGTAGAGTTGTAGCTAAGACAGCTAGACCGGTGATCTCTTAGGATGGGAGAGATTTAGCAGAGTTCAGGAGATGTCAACCTCATTAGTTCAAGGGGGATTCAGATCCTAATATTGAAAATCATTGGTTGTTCAAGATGGATAAGATCTTTAGTGTTTTGGGATCGAGGAGAGGAAGTTGGCCTATGCAGTATACATGTTAGTGGGTGAGGTTGAGTACTAGTGGAGAGACATCAGGTAGATGTTAGAGAGCAGAGGTGTTGTGGTTAATTGGGATTTCATCAAGAGGGTCTTTTTGGAGAAGTATTTCCCAGATAGCGTTAGATATGCTAACGAGATTGACTTTATGAGGCTATAATAGGGGACCATGTTTGCTTCTGAATATGCTATGAGGTTTGAGCATCTGGCTCATTTCTACTCTCAAGCCATATATGAGGCTTGGAGATGTAGAAAGTATGTAGAAGGATTGAGACATGAGCAGAAGAGGGTTGTTGTTCCTATGTCCATTGTGGAGTTTCCTGCCTTGGTTGAGAAGGCAAAGGCGGTTGAGAGATTGGAGGATGGTAGTGGTGGCAATAAGGCTACTAGAGTTCAGGATGGGTCATCAAGATCCAAGAGGGGAGGCCAACAGAGGGGACCCTATGATAGGCCCATTCAGTCTTAGAGGGGTGCTATTAGTAGGGGACCTCGCCCTACTACACCTCAAGGTGGATCATAGTTAGTGGGCTGCTACAGATGTGGAGGAGCTCATGTAGTTAGAGATTGTTCCCATCCGGGGAATATTTGTTTCAAGTATGGCAGACCATGCCATATTTCTAGAGATTGTCAGATGCCACCGACTCCGTCTATGAGTGCTTTAAGGCCAAATAGGCCTACAACTGAGAGGAGGGTATTTGCTTTATCAGGTGTAGAGACTTCCACCTCATCAGACTTGGTGAAGGGGAAAGGGAAGGCAGCATGTGAGAATGTTTTATTTCTGTTTGACTCTGGTGCTACCCATTCATTTATATCTATTGATTGTGTAAGGAGATTGGGTTTAACGGTGTCTACATTGCATGTTGATTTGTTTGTATCTACTCTGACTTCAATTTCTGTGGTGATGTCAGAGATGTGTGTGAGATGCCCGATAGAGGTGTTTGGTAGGAGGTTCCGGGTGAACCTGCTTTTTTTGCCCATGGTGGATATAGATATCATCTTGGGGATGGATTGGTTATCTACCATCACATCCTTATAGATTATGCTCAGAGAGAGTTAGTGTTTCCTTAGTTGGAGGATGAGGTGTTGGTGTCAGCTAGTCAAGTTGAGTAATTGATAAGGAATGAAGTTGAGTGCTTCATGTTGGTTGCTGCCTTGAGTGTTGAGACAGAGAGGGTCATCACTAGGATTATGGTTGTCAATGAGTTTCCTAATGTGTTTCTAGATGATGTGTCAGGATATACACCTGTACGTGATATTGAGTTTAGCATTGATCTGGTGCTAGGTGCAGGACCAGTATTAGTAGCCCCTTATAGGGTGGCTCTAGCTGAGTTGGTAGAGTTGAAGAAGAAGATAGAGGATTTGTTGGAGAAACAGATGGTGAGGCCCAGTTTTTCTCCTTGGGGTGCCCCTGTATTGTTAGTGAAGAAGAAAGATGGTGGGGTCCATTTGTGTGTTGATTATTGACAACTGAATAAGTTGACGATAAAGAATAAGTATTCACTTCCAAGGATTGATAATTTGATGGATCAGTTGAGGGGAGCTTCAGTGTTCTCAAAGATTGATTTGAGATTTGGATATCATCAGATAGAGTGATGGAGAGTGACATATCGAAGATTACTTTCAGGACTAGGTATGGTTACTATGAGTATGTTGTGATGCCATTTGGTGTTACTAATGCTCCGGCAGTGTTCATGGATTACATGAACAGAATTTTCAGACCGTTCTTGGACAGATTCGTGGTAGTCTTCATTGATGACATATTGATATATTTCAGATCCTTGGCAGACCACTGTGAGCATCTGAGGTTGGTTTGACATAGTGTTAATTCTAAGATTTATGTGGATTGTGATTGATTGATGTGAATGTGATTGTGATGTGATTGTGGTTCCTCACATTATGACTAGGGGTGGCACGACCTTGGGCAAAGAGATGCTACAGGCGCGACCTTAGCATAGTGTAGGATGTGTGATTTCTCATGCTTATGTCGGGGGTGGCACGACCTTGGGCAAAGAGATGCTACAGGCGTGACCTTGGCATAGGGTGGGATGTGTGAGGCAATTAATACTTATGGCGGGGGTGGCACGACCTTGGGCAAGAGATGCTATAGGCGTGACCTTGGCATAGGGTTGATTGCAAGATTTGTGATGATTGTTGTGATTGC